TATTATTATTATTTGTTTGGGAGAGAGAGAATGAGTAAGCAAGGGAGAGAGAGGGAGAGAGCATAAGCAGGGTGGAGGGTAGAGGGAGAGGGAGAAGCAGACTCCCTGCTGAGCAGGGCCCTGGGATCAGATACTTAACCGACTAAGCCACCCAGGGACCCCCACGTATGAACATTACTAACAAGCTTGACATTATTTTTAAGATTTACTTATTTTAGAGAGAAGCGTGTGTGTGCACCCGTTGGGAGGGCACGGAAGGAGAGAATCCTGTAGCCAACTCCGCTCTGAGGAGGAGGAATCATCCCAGGATTCATGAGATCATGAGGTCATGACCGAAGCCAAAAACCCAGTCAGATGCTTAACCCACTGAGCCACCTTGGCATCCCAACAAGCTTAACAATTTTAATGAAGTTTATAGGACCTATATAAAAATGTAGAAATGAAAGTATAGCATAATGTTAATTCAAGGAAGCAGAAATATCTTACATACAACATGACCAAAATTAAAATATACATACAAAACAGACTGAAAGCAAAATTGCTTTAAAAAGCTAATTGAGATTCTCTTTAGGAAGTAGTACTAAATATTTTTTCCTATTCCCCTGTGGTTCTATGTCTTTCAAATTTTCTATGATATGAGTTCTCCTACTTTTGTTTTGCCTACTTATTACAAAAATTTCCAAACACACAAAGAAAACGTATAATAGAATACCAGGTACCTATTAGCCAGCTTCAATGGCCATCAAAATTTAGATATACATGGGTTATCTCCCCTCATGTTTTTTTTTGTTTGTTTGTTTTAATTTTGTCGACTATTCTAAGCAAATTTCAGGGGCATCTGTGTATCTCAGTTGGTTAAGTGGCCGCCTTCGGGCTCCCTGCTCAGCAGGGTGTCTGATTCTCCCTCTCCTTCTGCCAGCCACTCCCCTTATTTGTGCTCTCTCAATCTCTATCAAATAAATAAATAAAATCTTTAAAAATAAATAAATAAAAATAAAGCCAATTTCAGACATCAAGTCATATTCTACAGATTTAAGAAAGGCTTATTCATACATAATGTCAATGCCATTTTTTCCTTTATACAGAAAGAAATAAAAATTCCTTTAATATAATCTAATACTTAGCCCATACTGAAAAATCTCTGTCTGAAATGTCTTTATACAGTCAGTTGGTTTTGAATGAGAATCCAAATAGTTCCAGTCTTTGTATTCTGTCGTAGGTCGAGCACAACACCAGCAAGCAGGGTTACAGGCTAAATTTTGATCCCTCCCCCCAAAAATGCATAAGTTGAAATCCTAACCCCTAGAACTTCAGAATGTGGCTATATTTGGACATAAGATTTTTAAAGAGGTAATTACACTGAAATTAGGTCATTAGGGTGGGCCCTAATCCAATATAACTGATGTCTTAAGAAGAGAAGATTAGGACTCAGGTACAGAAAAAAGACTATGTTCAGTCACAAGGACAAGGCAGCCATCTGTAAGCCAACGAGAGAGGAGAAGAAACTAACCCTGCCAACATCTTGATCTTGGACTTCGAATCTCCAGAATTGTGAGAAAATAAATTTCTGTTGTTTAAGTCAACCAGTCTGTGTATGGTACTTTGTATGGCAGACCTAGCAATGTAATATAAGCAGTAAAGCCAACACATTTTGATGGGATAATGTACATTTTGTACCGGGGAGTAAGTATTCTATCAACCGTATTTATGTTTTATTCAATAAATTATTTCTTATTTAATAAATATTTGAATGCCCTAAATTTATTTCATGAATGGTTGGCCAATTTTGTTATTACTACCACTACTAGTCTTAATTGCTTGCCTCTTCAAGTACCATTAAAGTGATCTCACTCTTATATTCTGAGCTAATGAGAAGGAAAGCGCATATCTGCTTTCTCCAGTTTGAATGGGGCTCACTTATATGTTTGCTATGTATTCAATTGCTTACTGGATATATCCCTCTGAAACTATCTTCCCTCTATACCTACTAACTTTTCACTGTTAATTAGCCATTTTCCATCCAGTTTCCTAAGCCAGAAACCTCAGTACCTTTAAACCATTTTTTATTATTCTGAAATACTTTTAAACTTACAAAAAAAGTTGTAAGAATAGTACAAAGAACTTCTAACTTTGCCCAAACTCTTCAATTGTTGACATATTACATTTGCTCTATCATCTTTTCTCTATACACATTCACATTTTACTTACATATGTTATTTACATATACTTTTTTCTGAACGTTTGAGTAAGTTGCAGGCATGAAGGTTCATTACCTCTAAATAATTCAGTGTGTATTTTCTGGAAACAAAGTTAACTCCTACATTAGCAGACTATAGTCATCAAAATCAGGAAATTAACTTTGTTAATATATAGGTGATATGTAAAATATCACCTAGTCCACAGACCCAATTCAAATTTTGTCAGTTGTCCCAATAATATCCTTTACAGAAAAAGGATCCAATGCAGAGCCATATGTTCCATTTTGTTGTCATGTCTCTTTAGTTCCCCACAATCGGAAAAAAGTTCTTTAGTTGTTCTTTTGTCTTTCATGACCTTGACAAACTTTTGAAGAGTAGAGATCTATGATTTTGTAAAATTTTCCCTTTTTGAGGTTGTCTGATCCTTCCTCATGATTAGATTCTCACTTAGCATTTTTTGGCAGGAGCATCACAAAAGTGTGTTCCAATTGTCTGTTTCCACGTGGCATACAATGTTGATTTGTCCTGTTACTGGGAATGGTAACTTTGCTTACCAGTGCCAGATTTCTCCACTGTTAAGTTTTTATTTTTCCCTTCGTGATTAGTATATTTGGCCAGGAGATACTCTGAGACCATTATGTTCCTCTTAAAGTTCTCAGACTCTAGTTTTAGCATACACTGATGACTCTTGGCTAAGTCAATTTTTACTATAATAATTGCCAAATGGTGATATTTCTACCTATATCATTCCTGCTACATATGTTAGTTAGCATATAAGGAATATATATACATATATATATATTCCTATTATAAGGAAGAGCGTTACTTTATACCCATTTAAAAAATATTTATGCTTTTATTTCAACATAGACTCAAGTATTCCTATTTTATTCAGCAGATCATAATCTATTAACATTATTATAATGATGCTCAAATTGACCCAGATGTGGTCAATGGAGGCTCCTTCAAGCTGGTTTCTGTGTCCCTTTCCTATGTTCCATCATTCTGTAAAAACATCTTTAATTTCTGGTGCAACAAGGTTTTTCAGGCTCATGTTGTACTTCCCCTGTTACTGTTCTGAATCAGTCATTTCCCCAAGCGGCTCTAGTTCCTTTTAGTAGAAAATGGTGTTTAGAAACCAAGATCTAGGCACTACCTGCTCATTGCTCCTTACATCTCTTTAGCAGAGAGCCCTAGGAAAAAAACAAAATAGATGGATTCAAAGTATAGACAACATTTGGGTAGAGATATGGAGGTGTAGAAGTTTACAAGAAGAGATTTTTCAGAGAGAGGAGACAATATGTACAAGAAAGGGGACATGTGAGGGTATGGATTGTTTTGCACAGTACACATAATTTAATATTACTGAAGCATAACAATGAAAAGAGGCAATGAGAGAAGAAACTAGTCAGGCAGATGGAGTATCTTATATCCTAGGCAAAGTAACTAAATTTTCTCTTACAGATAATCCTTTGAAGAATTTTCAGGACAGTGGCATTATCAGATTTACATGTTTAGTGAGGTCATTCTGGTAGCAGTATGGAGGATGGCATTATGGAATCAAACCTGGAATCAGGGGACTCGCAAAGAGGCTATCTCAAAAGAATAGCTGGAAGTAATGAAGGCTGGTATGAGGCAGCCCCAGTCAAGATGGATAGGCTATACACTAGTAGATAGTAGATAGGAGAACGGGCATAATTTGGTCTAAGAGGCATTTAGGATGCTCTATAGGCATTTACAACACGGGGAGGATGGTGGTTGCTTAAACCAAAATAGAAATCCAGAAACAGGAGTAGGTTCTAGGGTGAAAAATTGAACAGTTCGGTTTAAGATGCTTTGGATTGATGGTATTTCTCACTGAATTCTCATAGGATTTGTAGAAAGAAAATGAAATATGTTTTGTAAAGTGTGGTTTTGCTAATACGAATAGAAAAGATGGCCTCTGAAGAAACATGCTAACACTCCCACTTTGCAAACTAAGCAACAGGTTATGTATGGTGCGGTGTATGACCGCAACTGCAGGAAATTCAAGAGTTGGGGAGGGACCTGTCTCATATTTTTCCATCTCTGGTGACTCAGAGGTAAAAATGGCGCCTGTGGCAGAAATTAGAAAGTGGGAGGGAGCACTGGGTATGGAAAAAATGAGGGTTTTTTTTTTGTTTGTTTTGCTTTAAACATTTGGTGTGATAACACAGCGCCACACGAATTACGAACATTTTTTTCGTTAAGGTTTGGTCTATATTCTCCGCGTTTAAAAGGATGTTTCATTTTGTGGGCGCGATCGCTTGGGAGGTGGCGTGCCTGCGGCTTTGCCTCATTCACGCTTCTCGGCCTTGGCGGGTTCCACGACTGCCTCCCTATCTCTGGCCCCTCTCGTTTTTTTCTCCAGCGCTGGCTCCAGTTCTGAGAACACTTTCTCGGCGGTGACGACCGGACGGGCTCAGACCCTACGCATTCGCAGGTCTCCCTGGCGCTAGGGAACGTATTTCTTCGGAGGACCGCGGCCTCGCGCTTCCTACACGCGCACGAGGAGTCCCGCGCGCGGCCGCCGGAGCGCGTGCCCGACCGCAGCCTGAAGGCCCGCGGGCGCGGCGCGCGCATCACCTCCGCAAGCGCGACACTGCCGCAGCTCCGGGCCCCGGCGTCCGCGGCGCGGGGGCGGGGCCGTGGAGGGGCGTCAAGGCCCCGCCGCGGTCCAGGCCGGGAGCTCGGGCCGCATGGGTTGTCGTGGGAACGGAGGCGTAGGCAGGGACTGACGTCAGCGGGCGGCGGCCGCACTGCGCCACCCGGTGGGCTCTCAGAGCCGGAGTGGCTGGCTGCTAGGGTGGCTACGTGGGTGCCTGGCTCCCGGCGGCGCAGAGATCCGCTTCGCACAGTCCCAGTGTCGGCTCCGGCGGGACGGACTGTCGGCCGCTCTGGACTCTGTTCTCCGTGAGTACGCTGCAGGCCTACTGGTGGCGGGAGCCCGAGCCGGGCGCTTGGCCTGCCTGGGCCCTCTTAGAGGGGGCGGCGGCTAGGGGGACTGGTCAGGTCCTAAAGCGCGGAGGCGGTGCGCTGGGGGGGCGGGACGGGGGCGGTGCGGCGCCACCGAGGGCTGACCCGCCCAGTGCCGTGGAGCCATCGGAGGTAGTTCCTAGCTCTAAGTACTTTCCCGCTCCCTTCCCTGGGCTCTTGTCTCGTGAGTCCTCGGCGCGGTGTCCAGATCCGCCGTGGAGGAAATGCAGTCTTTGCCTTTCCTACTCCGGATTCTGGCTTAAAAGCGTTTAACTCAGACATGCACTAAATACGTTTATTTCCTTGTAGGGTGTCAGCTTGGTGCTGAACCTCGAACCTGTGAAATGCCTTCTTAATTATATCCGAGAAAAGGTGATAAGTGTGTTAACGTTTGTAAGAGTCATGTCGATCTGTATACGAACAAAAAAGAGTGAACTATTTAGAATCGCTACCAATGTGTATTTCAGCATTACTGTGGAAACAAACTGCAGTGTGTGGCTTTTACTTTTTTGAAAAAAGGATGCTAACAATTTTTTTCACGTCGCATTATTTTGCTGTTACTGCTTGGAGTTTCAAGGAAGAGATTGTCGTTCTGAGAACTCTGGGAAATTTCAAAAAGTATTTGAAAAATCCAAATACCAGAAGTTTTTAAAACCATATTTAGACTCTTGTTTGTTTATGGAGAGTATCTTGATTTATCGGTTCAATTATGTATACAGGGTTTTCGTTAGTTTTTTTTTTCCTGTGCTATAAAATTCAGCTAAAGGGTGAATTATCCAAGCCTCTGCTGCTTCTCCCTTTGATCTTTAGACATTTATTGGCCGGTAATCAGATGTTTAGAGAAAAAGAAAAATGAGATGAAATGTATTGTTAATTTTCCTAGTTAGTATTTCTCAGCGTCTCTTATAAAAGGGTTTGTGAGGGAGAATCTTTAAAATAATCGTATATATGAGGCTCAGGGATGTCATTTTAAGTTTGACCTTATTTTTGCCAGTGATGTTACTAACCAAATATTAGTCATTAATTCTATAATGTATTTGCTATGGGACACATTGTTTGGAAATGATTATTTCTGTAATGTATTTGCCATATTAAGTAGTATTAGTGTTTGTTCAACTGTTCATTGAACTACTAAGTAATAGTAAATAATGTCACTACATTATGTATTGTATTGGTGTATTTTATTTTATTGCACACTTATATTTAGTACTATAATAATAGATATAAAGTTATTTTATTGAGCACCTACAGTGTGCCAGCCACTGTGCTGATCACTTTGCTTTTCAGTATTTCCTTTTCTCTTTACAATAAAGTAGGTACCATTTTAATTTCCTGGGTCATAGAACATTTTACCAGGGTGAAAATAAAGTACTGAAGTAGAGAGGGAGGTATGGAGCTCAAGGCACTGTGGGAGGACAGGAAAGTATTTAACTGCCCCTTGAGGGTAGAGTGCTCCCAGAGAAGATACAATCTGCGTTTAGCATTAAAGGATAGTTAGGAGTTTGTTGGAGTGACAGAAGAAGGGCATATCTCAGGAGAAAGAGGTGGGTGTGTAATGGTTTAAAGGCAGGAAGGCGTTTGGCACAATTGAGAGCCTAAAAGTATTTCACATGGTTAGAATTCAGAATGTGTGTGGAAATGTGGCTGGGGAATGAGTCATTTCATAAATAGCCTTGACCCCCCCCAATGGTATGGACTTCCAATTTTTTTCCAGTAAGTGACTGAAATCTAGTGAAGAGATTTAAACAAAGAAATGATACCATTGCATTTGTATTTTAGTACATTTCTTCTGCTTGCAATGAAGAGGATGATTTATTTTTTAAAAGGATAAGGTGATAGAAGCATGGAAACAATCTTAAGAAAAAAAGTAAAATCTTTCCATAGTTTTTTTTTTAATCCCTCAAAGCTGCTGTATCATGTCCCTGCCTTTGAGGGTGAGGGAAGTCAGTAGGAAGCAGAATCGTGGAAAGAATTAGCCCCATGGGTCTCACCTTCCATTCATCCCTCCACCTGTTGCCACCAGATTTCCACCCCTGCACAAACAGCTTTGCAAACATGTGACTTGCTGATTGGACTGTAGATCCAGCAGACACTCTTTACAACTTGGTACCACACAGTGATAGAAAACTTCTTTCTTAAAATTCTTTTTCTTTGGGGGGCACCTGGAGGCTCAGTTGCTTAAGCATCTGACTCCTAATACCCGCTCAGGTCATGATTTCAGGGTCTTAAGATCTAGCATGGCGCCTGTCTGAAATTGTCTCTCCTTCTCCTTCTGCACCTTGCTTCCTCTCCGCCACCCCCCCCCCCGCTCTCTCTCTTTCTGTCTCTAACAACAACAACAACAACAACAACAAACTTCTTTCCCTTGGTTACCTCTCTCTTCGAGCTTTCACCTCTCTCTTTGATGTCCTTTGCTTTATTTTTGGGCTCCCAGAATTCTGTCTTTGTCACTTTTTCCCTGAAACCACCACAGATATAAAGCCTAGTTCTCAAATCTTTAGCCTACTTGCTGGATTACTATATTCTAATGCCTACCAAACAACCTGATTATACACATAAACAAATATACAGTGATAATAGCTGTCATTTTCAAAGGGCTTGCCATGTTCCAGGCATTGTGCTGTTTTATTTGCATATTCTCACTTAATCTGTACAAAAACCTTATGAGTGATTTATTATTGTTACTCTCTTTTGAAAGATTAGGAAATTGAGGTCCAGAAGTTAATTTACTGGCAAGTAGAACTGGGATTTGAATCTAGGGGTGTGACACTGAGCCAGTGCTTGTAGCTGGCTAGTGCCCCTCAGATACCCAGCTAACATGCCCCACTAAGCTCACTGAGTGTCCCCATAAGAAGTATCTATTACAGTCATAACAGGTGTTCACTGGTGTTTGTTTGTTTTTTAAGACATTATTTTAAATCATTTGACCCTTATAACAACCTTTTGAATATGTACTGGTAGGCTGATTTTACAGATGAGGAAACAAATTCCTAAGGTCACACAATTAACTGTTTGAGACTAATTCCAGGACTTGGGTTTTAAACTTATCCATTATACTTGTCCTGTATTCCAAAAAATGATACTACTGGCCTAAGTATTCTATTTTCAGAAAATGAGAATCATTCTTGACTCTTTGTCCTGCACTGTCAGTAGTTTTTATTTAATCTTTCTGAAATGTCTAAAATACCATAAGTACCATAATTTTTTTGTTTAATGGTAAGCAAATCAAGCTGAATATAAGTAAGTCACTTTTCTTAGTGACTCATAGTCATATAGTTCAGCTGTTTTCCTATATATTGAATGACCACGGAATATATAAATATTAAGTCATTATTATTTGGTTTATATTTTTTCTACTTAGGTGCTTTCAGGTTTCAATTTCTGATACAGTTAGGTTTACATCTTCTCTCTTTTCTAATTTGGGGTAGATTGGAAAGTAGATGACCAATACTTCTTAGGTGTGTATCTACTAGGAAGAATACATTCGGGCTCCCATCCATAAAGCACAGGAGTCTTTACTGTGTGAATTTAGTGATATCTATTTTGTCTGTGTACCAGAAAATTGTTATATGAGTTAACCCACATAAATAAGTATATGTGTATAATCTTTCTTACCTTTTTAGCCTTTCTTCTCAGACTTTTCTGTCCAGAGTACCCATGATATTAGAGGAACCAGAACGTGGATCCCCAGGGATCTGGAGCCTTAACAGATAATTGCTCAGCCAACTCAAATTATGTTTTTATTTTTTTTTACAGTCTTCTGTTTTATTCTTAAAAATGTGTGAATATTGTGTTATAATTTGGACATTAATATGTTTGTTTTGGACATACACCCTCATCTTTAAGTAAAATTGGAAATTCAGGAATACATATACTGAGTTTATCCCGGGTTTTGATATGTAATAATACACACCCATTATATTTGAGGAAGATAGTACAAATGCTTATGCTTAACCTTTTCTACTGCAACATTTTTAGTGGCAGGTACAAAAGTGTCTAAATGCATTGTCTGTGAATATGCTACCTACAAGCATATTTTACTAATTTAATAGTGCATGCTCTTGGGAAAGTCAATTCTTGGGTGGAGTTTGTTTTCTTAAAAGTACATCGAAATGTTTATTTTTCACTTAAAACACTTTTAAAAGTACATTAACATATTAAGTACATATTTATTGCCTTTCAAGATTTTTAAAAGTTTTTTGTTTCAAATACATATTTTATTCAAATATGATCCAGTTTTCTTTACTTTTCTTCAGACTCTAAACTAATCATATGTACTTTAAGTCATATACATAAGACTGGATAAGAGAATTTAGCTTTATTGGTATAAACCTGATGAGGTAGCTTAGACAAATCATCACATAATCTTGTGTGAAAAATGTTTTGTAATTTTTTATTTGCAAATTCCCTACTATAAATAAATTCTCGTTGTTTTAATAGGATCCTGATTGAGTCATTGCTTTACATTATAACTCCGTGCTCTCCGTAAAGCTGAGAGATGCCCACTGGTAAGACTTTTATGAAATTTATATCTGTAATACATTTTATTTATTTACTTATTTTAAAGTTTGAATTATTTTAAGGGGTTCTTTGATTTATTAATAAATACATTAACCAAATACTACAATTAGATAATTAATAGTTTGATATTCAATTTCCTATTTATTTTATTTTCTTATTTCTTTTATTTTTTATGGTTTTTTAATCAATTTTCTATTTATTTTATTTTCTTATTTTGTTTTTTATGTTTTTTATCAATTTTCTATTTAATGTTAGGTATTAAGGTTAGTATGTATTAGATGGCAGTTTGGGACTTCACTGGAGAAGGTAAATAATCATTATAGCAATGGTGAGTTTTTATTCCTTATTATCAAAATGGATGGTTTACTCTAGAGCAGGTAATAGCAACTTTTTCATAAAGGGAAAGCTAGTAAATATTTTAGGTTTATTCTCTGCTATAATTGCTCACATGTGCCATTGAAGCATAAAAGCATCCATAAGAATTCTTAACAGAGTGGGCATGGCTGTGTTTCAGTAAACTTTTATGTATAAGAGTAGATGACTGCCCTGTAGGCCGTAATCTGCCATCACCTGCTCTGGGGCAATCATCCATTCATTCAGCATTTATTCAGCATTAGGACATGTTTATTGAGTAAGTACACTGTGCTAGATCTCATGAAAATAGTAGGGATGGTAGCATAGTGTAGTGGGCGAGACAGAGACAATATAATTATTTGTGTAGATATACAAGTAATTATATGGTTTCAAGCTGTGTTAGATGCTGTGAAGAAAAAGAACAGTCTGCCATGTGAAGAATGGGGAAATTCAGATGAGATTGTCAGGAAGTGTTCCACTTTTAAGGCAACATTTGAACAGGCAGCTTAACACCAGATAGCTGAGAAGTTAGAGGAAGTTTACACCAGGTAGAAGCAGCTTAACATGGGAAGGTGCTTATTCTGGTGGAGGAGTGAGAAGGGCAGAATGGCTAGAATGTAGGGATCTAAGGGGCTGTTTCTCTTGGTTTCAAGCTGTAGAGGTAGGCAGGCTAGGAAATGAGAACGCTGTAGGGCGTGTGAAGGAATCATTTTGTCCTAAGTGAAGTGGGAAACTGGCAAGGTCTTAAGCAAGGGAATAACATGATCTGACTTATGTTTTAAAGAAAAAAAATAACTTTCAGCTTTTTGTATTTATGGTATGCTGATTATTGCCTAGGCAAGTGTTAGCCATTCTTCATGCAAATGATCTTTGATATAGAATTATTCTGATTTTACAGATAACAAAGATGAAGTTTAGAGTTGTTAAGTAACTTGCTTAAAGCCACCTAACAGTGGTAGATGCTATCATGAGTCACAAGTGGAAACTTAACTTAGTAAAGGAAACTTTTAAAGGGAGTAGCCCAAAAGGTAAGAGGGATTCAGGTGAGTGTGGTGTCACCAAAGCCAAAAGAAAAGTTTTACAAAGGAAGAACTGGTTAGTTCTAAAGTAGCTGAAGAACTCATACCGATATTTACAAGACTATGTTCTTTAACATCTGCTAGCATATAGCAGATACCTGTTATCATAGAGTTGTTTAGAAAATGACAGGAGTCTTTATCTTTGCAGTGGAGAGTGAAGCCAAGGTAAAAACCAAAGTTCGCTTTGAGGAATTGCTTAAGACCCACAATGAGCTCACTGATGAAAGAAAAAAACTGAAGAAAAAAATGGACAAATCTGGAGAAAAAATTGCAGTGAGTAATCGATCATTTGGTAATGATGACATATATCTGCATGAAATTATGACTTTGGTATTAAAATTCTGAGGAACTTTGGAAATTGAAAATAGTATATCTATGTCATAGTCAATAGCACATGGTATAAAAAGCTTATGTTAGAATCTGTATGACTCTTGGGATACTGAGTTCAATATTCAGTGCTATGCTACCAAAATAATGTAGACAAAATGATGAGAGTGCTGAGAGAATGGGCAAACTCAAGTGGCCAACATAGTACACATTTTTAAAGAAAATGAAGGTTTTTTAATCCAGAATTGTGAAGAATTTAGGGAGTAATATGTTACTCCAGATATTCAGCGGCTTGTCTTTATTTAGACTGATTGATCTGATTCTACCCAGCAGAACCAGGTGAAGTCACTGGAATCTGAAGGCAGTAATTATCTTTTTGTATTTGAGGTACACGTTCAAATGACAGGTTTTGGCAGCACAGTTGAAGAGATTAAAAATGCCAAACTCACCAGTACTAAACAGATCAACAATTGACTACAATCTGATTCCAGAATATTATAGAGTCTGTAATAGTATCCACGGTTAATGTACTATTCACTCTTCAGATCTGTCTTGCTATATTAGTTGGACCTTTTATTCCTTTGACCATAATCTGTTATGTACACACACACACACACACACACACAGGCGCAAATAACTTCATGCATGTTCTGGTAATTGGTACATAGTATTTCTTTGGCTAGAGTTTTATTAGTTATGTATAGCTTATATTTTACTTGTTGCAGATTTTACCCTATTCTGAATTTTGCCATGTGACCTCTTCATTCTAATATTCTCTCTGGCAGCCATCGACATGATAGTATATATTCTCAAGTGAGACAAAAATAAGTACTAACACTGGCCAGAATCCAGCTGCACACATGTGAGAGGTTTGTAGTACAGCTGTTTACTGTTGCATACCAATTTAGAACTCCTGGTGGAATTGGGCAGATTAGGTCTTCCATATTGGATGCTGCGCATTTGTATAATGCGCTTCTCCCGGTGGTACTTGTATGAGTATGATAGGGAGTAGTGGGATATGGAGGATGGAACATTGCATATTGGCATATGCCCTCCCCTTGGGTAGGTGATATACATTGGGCAAAAACAGAAAAAACCCTGGAAACAATTGTATATTTTTAAGGACTCAAAGTAGAACCTCATGTTTTCTCTTACTGGGCTTTGTGAACTGGACTTTGTGAGCATGAACTAGATGCTGTTTAGGCCGGGAATGCTCAATTGAATGGATAACCAAAAAATGGGCAGAGGAGATGTCCATTTAGCTATTGTCCAGTTAGATGTTGGGAACATGTGAGGTGACTAAAGATAATCTACCTCGCCTCTTTTGGTACATAGCAGGCCATTCAGACACCGCCTTTATCAGAGATGAGTATCCTAAGAAAAAATAGGAAGAGATTTTTTAGCTCAGAAGAAGGGGACTATTCCTGGAGGACTTACAGGAAAACAAAATATTTTTGAAATGATTTACTTTAGGAAATAAAGTAAACCTCTTTTTATTTACTAGATAACAGTGCTTCCTATCTTTCAAGCACTTCTAAACATATTATGTATATTCACTAGTTTTTAATAACATGAAATGATGAGGTTTTATTCCATTTTAGTTAAGGAGACTGGATCACAGAGAGGTTGAATAACTGCCTAAATTTGCAAAGTTGGTGGCAGAACCAGAATTCAAACTCTAACAATCTGGCTACAGAGCCCAGTCTCTTAACCATAACCCAGTAGAACCTCTTTGAATAACATATGAAGAGATGGGACCTCATCAGAACAAAAATATGTACAGAACAGGCAGGCTGAGATTGGAAGGGAAGCTGGCTGAAATAAGAAAAGGAACAAGGAAAAGGCTGTACTAAGAGAATTCATAATAATGCAGATTCACCTTATTATTTTTCAATAATCTGTTAGGCACTGTGATAAGAATTTTGCAAATGCTGTTTCTGATTCTCATGTTAATCACGAAACATAGGTAGTGGGGCTCTTATTTTGCATGAGACGTTTTATAAACATCAGAACAGAAAAACCACTTAACAAAGATGTTAAATGTTTTGCCAGAGCCTTAAAGCCAGCAGTAGAGTAAGGGGGATTTAAAATTATAGTCTCTCCGTGCTCTGCCTTTAGTTGCTCTTTAAAAACTGGGTCTTCAGCCTAAAACAGTAGAATTGGTACCATGGAAAAATCTAATTAGCGATAAGGAAGATGAATTTGAGGCATTCTCCCATGAGAAGAAATGGCTAAAACTAAAATGAAGTAAGTAATGAAAACCTATAGAAATATTTGACCTTTAAGTAAGTGTTCCCAGACAATGCTAATGGAGCAGAAACAGTAGAAAGAGCATGGTGAAAAAAACCTTCTTGAGATTAACAGAAAGATCTAGGAGGAGATGAGTCTATCTTGCATTCTGGGTAAAATTTATGAGATGAGAACTATATTTAGAACTTTGTAATTTCAGGAGAAAAGTTAATTTTGCAAGTATCTCAACAGAAAAAGACACATCTGGTACATTTCAGGCCTCTCTCAGAAAACACTAAATCCAGAAGACAATAAAACAATATCTGTATAGTATTGAGGGAAAAATTGTATCACAAGAAATCCAATGACCTAAGTGTCAGTTGTTTGTGAGGTCAGTAGTGAACATGAGAATGAACAGAGAATTATTGTAAGTGTTCCCTCCCTGAAAAAAAGAAAACTGTTGAATGTGTATTATTTGAATATGTAGTACCATTTCCAGAAACATTAATCAAAATTAAGAATGTAAGAATAGAGAATTTATGGTCTGAAAATATATCTGCATGAGTCTTTTGAGACCAGTTAAACATATAGAACTTTATTATTTGTGCCAAAAATAATTACTGAAAATTTATATTACATAATGTACCTGTGATAATGTGAGATAACAGGAACATTGTTTTAAAACATTGGGCAAATCTTTTCCTAGCTTGCAGAGCAAAAAAAAGTCCTGTAACGATTACTTTTACCTAAAGTGTAGTCAGAAGTTACTTCATCCTGGAGTTCAAAATAAGTGAAACAAGTACTATGTAAAATTGATTATTTTACTTTCAGAGTCATCAGATGTCAAGAGAAAATGGGTGCCTGGGTGGCTCAGTCGTTAAGCGTCTGCCTTCAGCTCAGGTCATGATCCTGGGGTCCTGGGATCAAGCCCTGCATCTGGCTCACTGCTGGGCAGGAAGCCTGCTTCTCTCTCTCCCACTCCCCCTGCTTGTGTTCCCTCTCTCTCTCTGTGTGTCTCTCTCCATCAAATAAATAAATAAAATCTTAAGAAAGATAAAAAGAAAGAAAGAAAGAAAGAAACGAACAAGTGAACACAACAGACTTTTTTAAAAAGGAACAAAGGTAGTGAAAGAAGAAATTTAAGAATAAACTTTTAGGGGTGACTGGGTGGCTCAGTTGGTTAAATGTCTGACTCTTGATTTCAGCTCAGGTCATGATCTCAGGGTGGTGAGATGGAGCCCTGGGTTGGGCTCTGTGCTCAGCAGGGAGTCGGCTTGAGATTTTCTCTACCTCTCCCTCTGCCCCTCCCCCTGTGCATGCACACTCTATCTCAAATAAGTAAATCTTTAAAAAAAAAAAAAAGAATGAACTGTTAGTCATAAAAATAAATGTAAACAGTTTAAGTTTCCTATTTCAAAAAGCAAACTCTAAAATAATTTTTTAAAATGTCAGGTGTTAAGCTTGCAACATTGACAGATCAAACAAAATGACATAAAGTTTAAAACTAAAAGTTGGCAAAAATATATACAAATCTAAAAAGAAACAGAATTTTCTCAATTATGAATATATTGAAAGAACAAAAAGCTTAAATAAATATGAGCAAAAGAAATTTAACCATATGTTGAGAAAATATTTGTCTTAGCCAAAATAGGTTTTCTCCCTAAGAACTCAAGAAAATAGCATTGGGGCACCTGAGTGGCTCCGTCAGTTGAGGTCCAACGTTTTGGTTTTGGCTCCGGTCATGATCTCAGGGTCATGATCTCCATATCAAGCCCTATGTGGGGCATGAAGTCTGCTTAAGAGTCTCTCTCTCTCCCCCAATGCTCCCCCATGCACACACACATTCTCTCTCTCAAATAAACTAATAAATTAATTAGTTTTTAAAAAGAATATCTTAAAAATTGGCTATAAGTCAGCATCAGTAAATCAGTACAAATAAGTTGAATGAAAACCATATGATTGCATAAAAGTAAGGGAAAAGCCGTAATATTTTACTTAGAGGTTACTAGTGATTTTTGAAAAAAAAATTTGGTGTTCATGTAAGTGATAATTATGTACCTTCTGAGGTGCATACACATGGCTTATTGTGTCTGATTTCAGGAGCTTCCAGGGCCTCCTTTGAGAACGGAGGGTAGTCCCCTGATGACCTAAAGATACCTCACCAATAAGTACTTCCTTCAAAATCAGGATCCATAAGGAAAGATCTCTTTATCTCAAGAATATAATATTCTTGAAGTTTTAGTAAATATAATTAGACAAGAAATGTAAATAGCATTATCATAGCTTTTCTTCACCTAATATTTGTCTCTACTACATACCAGGGACTATGCTAAGTGCTCTGCGCACTTACTTCACCTTATCTCGCAGGAATCCTGTCACGTGAGTATAGATCGGAGAACAGAGATTAAGGAACTTACCCAAGATCTTACAACTATTAAGTAGTGAATCCAGATCCTTATGACTCCGGAGCTTATATTCATGACAGCTGAATGGTATGGCTTCCTTGATACACCAGTGTGTAGTGTGAGCAAATGTATGACTCCCAGTGAGGAGGGCAAGGACTTATACTTGATATTCCAAATAGTAATGCTATCTGTGCCAGTCAATTGAAAGTGAACAAGTATGCAAAAATCATCTGTTATAGCCTAGAAACACATCAGAAAATACTGCAGAACAAACAAATTAATAAGCATTTCATATACAGAAACTATAAAAGCCTTATAAGATCTTAAAAATAAATTTTCTAAAAGTACAGATTCTTATATTAAAAACCTGTGATTTTTTATTAGTAGATATTTCAGAAAGCATGCACTTTATGTATGCTAGTTCTTTTAAGCTTAACCCAGTAGTAGCAGTCTCCAGTGGGCTATTTATTTATTTATATTGGAGGGGTTCTGTAACAAATTATCTACCTATTTATTTATTTATTTATTTATTTTAATTAACATGTAATGTGTTATTTGCTTCAGGGGTAAAGGTCTGTGAATCATAAGTCTTACAGAATTCACAGCACTTACCATAGCACATACCTTCCCCAATGTCCATCACCGAGCCACCCAATCCCTTTCACCCCCCTCTTCCCTCCAGCAGCCCTCAGTTTGTTTCCTGAGATTAAGAGTCTCTTATGGTTTGTCTCCCTCTGTGGTTTTGTCTTGCTTCACTTTCCTTCCCTTCCCCTATGATCCTCTGTCTTGTCTCTCAAATTCGTCATATCAGTGAGATCATATGATAATTGTCTTTCTCTGACTAATTTTGCTTAGCTTAATACCCTCTAGTTCTATCCATGTCGTTGCAAATGGCAAAATTTTGGGTTTTTTGATGCCTCATAGTATTCCATTGTATGTATATACCACATCTTCTTTCATCTGTTGATGGACATCTATGTTCTTTCCATAGTTTGGCTATTGTGGACATTGCTGCTATAAACATTCGGGTGCACATGCCCCTTCGGATCACTACATTTCTATCTTTAGCGTAAATACCCAGTAGTGCAGTTGCTGGGTTGTAGGGTAGCTCTATTTTCAACTTTTTGAGGAACCTCTCTACTGTTTTCCAGAGTGGCTGCATCTAGCCTTTTTTATTAAAAAATCTCATTTAAAATAATTTTGATTAGAGAAATATATACTGGTGTGTTTATTCTGTCATTTGACCTAATTTGATAATATTTAATATTGGGCAGCATTTTCAATGATGTATTTGGATTAATTGTAGGGTAATTCTGAATTACAGACTTTTGATTTTACAGTATAATTATGAGCAAAATGAATGACCTGGGTGTGTTTTCTGTTGGGAAACCTGAAATGCTTTAACTCTGTGGCTCCTTTAGCAATTTCTCAAATATCTTATAATTATAGTATGGATCATTCTGCCAAAGAGAAAATTAACATTTGAGATGTGAGCAATTTATTCACTTCTGAAAAGTCATTAAGTATTTTTCTCCATGTTAATTATCTCATTTAATCTGAGGTTACTCTCAGAAATTATGAGTCTAATGCCAAGAGCATAAACTAGGCTAGTGCTAATGAGATGGTCTAGAATGCTATTAGTGTGTTCAAGTAAAAAAATGAATTTATTTTCCCAATATTCACTGAATACGGATCATTGTGCTTTAGCTTTATGTCACTGAACTGCGCTTGGCTGAAACTTCGTTACTGTGCTTTCTTTTCCTAGCTTGACACTGTTAGAAGCAATCGTCTGAAAAGTAAAAAAACTAGAAGTGATGATGTAAGTCCTGCGAACACTAATAACTCAGAGGAGAGCATGCAAGTCACTAAAAGCAAACTAAGGAATCCTCAGTCAACGCCTGAAAATCCAGATGATGTTAGTGTAGAGGAAGAAAAGCAAGGAAAGACAAGTAAAAAGGCGGTGAAAACAGTATTCCAGATGACTGCACAAGGAATGGAACTGGAAACTCCTGTGAAAAAGGTGGATTCCACACATCAGAAAGCACGGACCAGGCCACAGCCAGGTGTTGCTCATCAGAAGAGCGAGAAGGCAGATGAAGAAAGAGAAAACGGTAATTTAGATGAGGAGGAAGAACTGTTGCAAATGTACCAACTCCAAGTAGCTGAAGAAATGGCGAAGGAGATTAAGAAGAAAATAAGAAAGAAACTCAAAGAACAGTTGACTTACTTTCCCTCAGATCCCTCATTGCATGATGGCAAACTGAACAGTGAGAAAAAAATAAAGAAAAAAAAGAAAGTTTCAATATCGTCTAAAGGTGAAACAAGGTACTTTGCATGGACAGATATAAAATGTCCTCTAGTATTCTCAGCTTCTGAGTGATACCTGTAGTTACACTAAGAAAATTCTTAATCTTTCATGTGGATACATTACCAGTACAATAATAAGTTACACTTTCCATAGCACCTTAATATGTGCTAACTGCTTTATAAGAATTAACTTACTGATGCCTTGTAACAACCTTACGAGGAATAGTAACACTATCACCCTATTTTGCAGATAAGGAAACTCGAAAGTTTAAGTCACAGAACCAGTATGAAGCTAAGCCAAAACCCTAGCAGTCTTGTTCTAAAGTCTCTACCCTTCAATACTTACATCTGCTTATTAAATAATAGAAACCCAATTTCTCTCCCTTTTTGGAGTTACAAATGCTTATTTGGAAAAATGAATATAGTGTGTTTCTTTATCATACAAATGATATTTGCTTATTGTAGAACATACAATAAAGACACAAAGAAGGTGAAAGTAACCTAACCATCTAAAGGTGATCATTATAAGCAATTTAGCATACTTATTTTTTTCTATATATGGTGCTTATACATATATGTTTGCATTTGGGGTGTGAGTGCTTCTGTGATCGTATTTATATTTATATGTCTCTCTTTGGGGGAAACGAGATAAAAAATACCTTTTAACTACTTAGCTTTGTTTTCTGCAGTCCACATCTATATAAACAACTTGAAGTGGGAACATTCTGTATTTGATTATGCCCTGGCCTTCAGGGACAGTTTTCGCTAACGTCCTCATCCAAAAATAATTCCGTTCTTACCAAAAGCTAGATAACTAGTGGTAACAAAAGGAGAGCAAAAAGAGTTGCTAGGCGAACATGTTACTATATGTATTAACTATCTGTTGCTGCACAAAAAGGCTACTCTAGAACTTAGCAGAACAACAAACATTTATTGTCTCTCGGTTTCTGTGGATCAGGAATCTGAGCATGGCTTAAGTGGGTACCGCTGACTCAGGATCCCTCATGGCCTACAGTCAGCATGTCAGCTGGGGGTGCAGTCATCTTAAGGGTTGGCTGGAGTAGGATCTGCAGGTGACAGAGCTGTTGGAAGGCTTGGAATATCCACTTCTAAGTTCACTCATGTGGTACTTGGCAGGTCTCAGGTCCTGACTGACTTGGCCAGAGACATTGATTCCTTGCCACATGGGTCTCTCCATGTGGGCTATTCACAACATGGCCACTTGCTTCCCCAGAGCAGGGGCTCTGAGAAAGAGAGAGTCATAGTCTTTATGGAATCTAATCTTTAATCTTGGTTTCAAAGTGGCATCCATTACGTTTGTCATATATTATCTATTAAAAGTGGGTCACTAGGTCCAGCCCACAATCACAGGAAGGGACTCAACAAATATATTAAGAGCAGAAGGCAAGGAACATTGAGGGCCATCTTAGAGGCTACTTGCCACAGTATACCATCAGTCTTTCTTACAGCTACCGTATCTGTTATGAACTTGTAAGCCATACTTAACTATTACATGTGAGTTCATGAATTTTAAATAAAACCACAGATTACATGACCATGGCATGCAAAGGGTAGTTCTCTTTAAATAATAGTATTTGGTGATGTGATAAAACAGTATGGCTTTCTGGAATGATTATTTTGAATTATTTCTCTAATCTTTTTATTTCTCAACCTCTTTTTTAAAAATATGACTATATTGGAAGTCAGTTTTTTATTATTCAGGTGCAGATTTTTTACTTGATAAATTACAAACTTTAATAGGCTGGTTTTTCTCTACAATGACTATAACTCTAGGCTGCTACTCCTTAGCATTTATTAGTTCACATGATAACACATTTTCATTTTAATAATGGCCTTCTGAAAATATGGTAGCACACCAACCCCTGGAAAAGATAATTAATTGTTATCTAGAAACCAAAAGTTGAATATCTGAAGCCTCTTGAAAGCAGAACAAACTTAGAACACTTTTTTTTTTTTTGCTTTTAAATAAGGTAATTTAGAAATTTTTTCCTTAATCGTTGACTTGGCAACACAGTGAGGATGCTTTCATCAGTCCTATAGAAAAACAGATTTACTGCTCATAAAATATATAACTTCATCTTTCCTGGGAGTTTAGAGCTCAAGTTTAATTTGGCTCGGGGGTATATAACTCATTACCAAATATAAAATAATACCTATTGATACCTAATTTGATAGTTCACCCTTTTAATGCATAATAAAATATATGTATCCCCTAGCAGGAAAGAATACTGATTTTAGGATTATCCTTGACTCTGTTCACTGTTCAGTTTGCTGCATCATTAAGAAGAAGAAGAATATATTTTTAATGGCTTGTACTTGGTTTGTATTTGCAGTACATTGACCATCTCTGATGACACAGCTGAAAGTGAACAAAAGAAAGCATCTCCAGTTAGAACAGTTACTTCAGATTCTCATCAAGATGAGAAAATAAGCTCAGTGGAAGACAATGTAGAAGACAGCATGCAAGATGACACAAAATCCAAACCAAAAAAGAAGAAAAAGAAGGCTAAAACAGGTTTGTTATCCAAATTAAATGAAAAATGTGCCTTGGTAGAAATAAGTTGATTCTAGGACTTTGAGTCCTTAAAACTAAAGAAGATCTATTCCCAAAGACTATAATTTAAAAAATCCAGTATAGACTGCAGTTGACCCTTGAACAAAAAGAGTTTGGGTTTGAACTGTGCAAATCAGGTTCACTTACACTGATTTTTTTTTTATAAAAAAGTAAAGTACTGTAAATGTATTTTCTTTTTCTTATGACTTCCTTACAGCATTTTCTTTTCTCTGGCTTGCTTATTTTAAGAATATAATATATGATACATGTAACATGTAAAATGTATGTTAATTGACTGTTTATATGTTATCAGTAAGGCTTCTGGTCAGCAGAAGGATATTAGTCTTGGGCGAGTCAGAGATTAAGCACAGGTTTGCAAATGTGCAGGGGGTTGGCACCCCTAACCCTGGCATTGTTCAAGGGTCACCTGTATGTGGCACTTGTTCTTGGATTCATGTATGTTAAAACATTTATTTATTTGTAACTGTGGGTCTCTTTGGTCAGTTTATATTACGTAAGTCATCTCTAATCCTTGACTTAATTTAATTGAACCCTAGAATGACATTAACTTTGTTGCTGTTGTGGCACAGATTTCTTCTTTATACCATTGAGTTTCAAACCCCTAAATAATTCAGACTCATATTTATTGAAAGTGTTAAGTGTTCAGCAGTTAATAAACATTTCCCATGTTAAGGCTGCAACCCTCTGTCACACGTGATTGTCTTCCCACGTCCTCAGCCTGATTCAGTTTGTTTTTCCTTCCCACCCTCTTGCTTCGTGTCTTCCTCTTTCCTCATTTTCTTTCTTTCCTCTTATTTTTCTTTACTTGGTATTGCCTTTTTCCTACTTCTTACATTCTTTTTTTTTCCTTTTCAATTTCAATTTAATTGGCCAAAAATGGGGACCAAAGTATGCAATTTTAGAATTTATGGTAGTTACTCATTGGATATGCAATTGATGGTGCTTTGTGGTTCCTGTGAGTACATTTGTAAAACCTTTGTTAAAGTATGATACCCATACAGAAAAGTGTTCATGTTACAAGTATACTGCTTAGTGGATTTTCACAAACTGAACATGCCTATAAAGTTGTCATCCAAATCTAGAAACAACACTGTTAGCACCAGAAACCCCGTAAGTCCCCTTCCCTTTCATTGCCCGTCAGGAGTAGACATTATCTTGACATATAACACAGTTTATTTCTGCCTGGTTTTCTACTTTGATGTGAATAGAATCAGAAATACTGTGCTCTTTGTGCCTGAATTCTTTCACTGAAAATTATTTTTGTGAGATGTAGACTGTGTTGCTTGTGGTTGAGCTTATTCATTATCGGTTCTGCTTTTGCACTGTATGGATATCCATTGTGGGGCTATACTGCAGTAATTTACCAGTTGTACTGATGGACATTTGAGCTGTTTCTAGTTCTAGGTGGTTACAAATAAAGCTGTAATATTCTAGCCATGTCTTCTGGCAAGCATATATGTACTTTTGGGGGGGCATCTTTTTTTTTAAGCATAGTGTTACTTATTTATGGAGTTCCTATGTCTTTCAGAACTGCTCACTGGTAGGACACAGGCTGGGAAACGCTACTCGGAAACATGGCTGTGATCCTTTAAATCTAGCATCTAAAGAAAAACTGAAAAAGTACTCCTCATTGCTTTCTAATATATTTATTTTGTTGAGCATCTTGTTAGGAGAAAGTCACTGTCAGAGATTATGAATATTTTTCACTTTAACAAATACTTCCCATTTTCCAGCGTTGGTTGACAAACTGATGACACGAGCAGTATTTGAGAACTTCCAGTGCTCTACATCTTCACTAACATTTATATTCTCAGTATTTAAAAATTTTAGCCATTTATAATGTATAATGATATTTCGGTTTTACTTTAAACTTTGGTAATTAATGAAGTTGAGCATCTTCATGTTTGTTGTGTACTTGGATTTCTTCATTTATACGCTTGTTTAAGTCTTTCGTGTATACTTTTAAGAAATGGAATTGTTTGCCTTTTATAATTTGTGAGAATTTTTTTTTTAATTTTTAATTTTTTTATTAACATATAATGTATTATTAGCCCCAGGGGTACAGGTCAGTGAATCTCCAGGTTTACACACTTTTCAGCACTCACCATAGCACATACCTTCCCCAATGTCCATAACCCCACCCCCCTCTCCAAACCCCCCTCCCCCCAGTAACCCTCAGTTTGTTTTGTGACATTAAGAGTTTTTTATGGTTTGTCTCCCTCCCGATCCCATCTTGTTTCATTTATTCTTTTCCTACCCCCCAAACCCCCCACATTGCCTCTCAACTTCCTCATATCAGGGAGAGCATATGATAATTATCTTTCTCTATTCGACTTATTTCACTCAGCATAATACCCTCTAGTTCCACTCACATCGTTGCAAATGGCAAGATTTCATTTCTTTTGATGGCTGAATAGTATTCTATTCCATTGTGTGTATGTGTGTGTGTTTGTATATATATATGTGTGTGTGTGTGTGTGTGTATACACACACACACACCCCACTTCTTTATCCATTCATCTGTTGATGGACATCTAGGTTCTTTCCATAGTTTGGTTATTGTGGACATTGCTGCTATAAACATTCGGGTGCACGTGCCCCTTCGGATCACTACATTTGTATCTTTAGGGTAAATACCCACTGGTGTGATTGCTGGGTCGTAGGGTAGCTCTATTTTCAGCTTTTTGAGGAAACTTCATACTGTTTTCCAGAGTGGTTGCACCAGCTTGCATTCCCACCAACAGTGTAGGAGGGTTCCCCTTTCTCCACATCCTCGCCAGCATCTGTCATTTCTTGACTTGTTAATTTTAGCCATTCTGACGGGTGTGAGGTGATATCTCATTGTGGTTTTGATTTGTATTTCCCTGATGCCGAGTGATGTTGAGCACTTTTTCATGTGTCTGTTGGCCATCTGGATGTCTTCTTTGCAGAAATGTCTGTTCATGTCCTCTGCCCATTTCTTGATTGGATTATTTGTTCTTTGGGTGTTGAGTTTGATAAGTTTTTTATAGATTCTGGATACTAGCCCTATATCTGATATGTCGTTTGCAAATATCTTCTCCCATTCTGTCAGTTGTCTTTTGGTTTTGTTAACTGTTTCCTTTGCTGTGCAGAAGCTTTTGATCTTGATGAAATTTGTGAGAATATTTTATGTAGCTAGACATAAGTCTTTTCTTGGGTACAGAACACACATACACACACACACATGGCAGACATCTTCCCAGTCTGGATTTTACTATTCTCTTATTGGTATCTTTTGAAATATAGAATTCTAAAATTTGATATAGCCCAATTTATCCATTTTTTCCTTTGATGGTAAGTGCTTTCTCTGGTATAAGAAATCTTTCCCAAGTCCTGAAGATGTTTTTGTATTTATTCCTTTCTAAAAGTTTTTTGTTTGCTTTTCATATTTAGCTCTGCAGGTCATCTGGAATTGGTTCTTGAATATGGTGAGAGGTAGTAGTTAAGGCCCATTTTTTTCCTGTGTGAATATATAATTGACCTAGTACCATATATGGAAGAGAGCATCTTTTTTCCTCTGTATTGCAATGTCACCTTTATCCTAAATAACATGGCTATGGGACTGGATCACTTTCTATTCTGTTACATTACACTGTTTGTACCAACACAACTATGAGTAATTACTATAGCTTTATATTAGATCTTGCTATTCAGTTGTGTAAGTACTCTAACAGGTTTTTTTCTTTAGCATTACCTGGGCTATTCTTTTGCCCTTTACATTTCTATATGAATTTTAGAAGCAGCTTCTCAATTCTCCCTCTTCCTCCCCCACCCCCAGCATTATTTTTATCCAGATAGGGTGAATCTGAAGAGATTCATAATTTAACATCTCTCTAGATAGAGTTGATATCTTTACAAAGTATTAATTCTTGCCATCCATGAAATTGGTATGTACCTCCATATTTATATCTACAGTTTATCTTGGTAATATTGTAAGTTTTGGTAGAGTCTGTCTTTAGATGTATTCCTAGGTATTTGATGTTTCTTAAGGCTGTTATAAATGACATTTTTTTAAATGGCATTGATTTTTAAATTTTTGTTTTCTCTTTGTTGCTGGTGTGTGTGTATGTGTACATGCATAACAATATATGCAGCAGTTGGTACAGCCACTTTGGAGAACAGTGTGGAGAGTCCTCAGGAAATTAAAAATAGAGCTTCCCTATGACCCTGCAATTGCACTACTGGTATTTATCCCAAAGATACATATGTAGTGAAAAGAAGGGCCATCTGTACCCAATTGTTTATAGCAGCAATGGCCACGGTCGCCAAACTGTGGAAAGAACCAAGATGCCCTTCAACGGACGAATGGATAAGGAAGATGTGGTCCATATACACTATGGAGTATTATGCCTCCATCAGAAAGGATGAATAGCCAACTTTTGTAGCAACATGGACAGGACTGGAAGAGATTATGCTGAGTGAAATAAATCAAGCAGAGACAGTCAGTTATCATATGGTTTCACTTATTTGTGGAGAGTAACAAATAACATGGAGGACATGGGGAGATGGAGAGGAGAAGGGAGTTGAGGGAAACTGAAGGGGAGGTGAACCATGAGAGACTATGGACTCTGAAAAACAACCTGAGGATTTTGAAGGGGCAGGGGGTGGGAGGTTGGGGGAGCCAGGTGGTGGGTATTAAGGAGGGCACGGATTGCACGGAGCACTGGGTGTGGTGCAAAAACAATGAATACTGTTACGCTGAAAAGATATTAAAAAAATTAATTTAAAAAATATGCAGTGAGAAATATAATTTGTTTTTAAAAAATTAACATTGTATCCAGTGTTTTTGCTAAATTTATTACTTCTAAGTGTATATCCATGGATTGTTTTGAATTTTCTACATACACAGTCATATCACCTGTTAATAATGATTGTTTCATTGTGCCTTTTTCAGTCCTTATATCTTACTTCTTTCTCTT